GAATTCATCAAGTTCAAATCTATATATTAATCTTCTAAACCTTATGGACAGTTTCAACCTTGACATTAACCTAAGCACAGGAAGAATTTATTTCCTTGGAATTTTGTTTTCTTAATTCATTTCTTAATCTAGATTCATTATCACTAATTTAATAAAATTGTTCCACAACCCATATAGATCCCAGCATCTCATTCAGAAAGGATAGCCTTTTTCATCTGCTGGTGGGGGGAAAAAAAGTATATTTCAAAATGTTGCTTTTATTTCACAATCTTTTTTCAGCTTGAAATAGCAGTACCTCTGTTCGAAAAATTCATGTTGGAAGAAGGCAAAAACTACAGAAACTAGTCAGAAACTGTGACCCGGCCCTGTGGCCAAAGCCAGCCTGGTGTGTGGCTGTCACCAGTCCTGGTGATCTTTAACAACATCCAGATAGTTTTTCCCCCTTCACTATCATTTTTCAATTTCAAGGTAAGGTTTGCCTGAACGATTTAGGTACATAAGAAACAAAGCCAGTATTCCCAGGAGTTTTGCAATGTGAATAAGAACCCCCTGTCTCATTTATAGAAAATATTTTTTTGTCCTTAGAAAGGGACAGGAAAAATTGTTGGTTCGTAGGTATTTTTGAATGTCTATTCATGAAAATCAATTTTCTTCCTTGTGATTGGAGCTGATGTTGGTATTTTAACCCTAATTTAGATTGTGGGTGGTGGAGGGATATAGAAATTGTTCCCTTTAGCTTTGTGTATCTTTCTTAAATATGACAGATATAATTTCATTCTTTTTCATACTAAAGCTTCAAGAGAAGCGACCTATAGTATTCGATGAAATGTGCAATGAATGAACTCTTTATAGACTATAACGTAATTTAATAATTTGTGATACTTTAAATCAGTGGTTCTCAACCTTCCTAATTGCCATATTGTTACAAATGGAAAAAAGGGGTTGTGACCCACAGGTTGAGAACCGCTGCTTTAAATCAACTCTTCTTTCAAATAAGAAATAAAATCTAGAATTTTGGTTATTTTCCTTTTGGCCACTTCACTGGATTTTTCACTGGAGAAGACGGAAGTGGGTGATATATACAGTATAATAGTTTGAAGTCTCAGAACTATTTTTAGTTAGGGAGTGCTAGAATTTTGCATATTTCACGACTCTTCCCTCCTTTACTATTGAAGCCTGGTTGAAGTTTGATTCTTCATAAGAAAATGTAAACATATTAGTGAAAATTAAATAGCCACGTATGTGATTTGGGTTTTTGAAAAAGATGTGACACGTTATCACAATGAACAAAAAGTTAGAGACTAGTGTATGTCAGAATAATGAATGAGAAAGCCTGAAGCTCGTCCATTGGTTGGAATTTATAATCACTCCGAAAAGCCTGGTTTTGAGACTCTGTCTTTGAGATACAGACACTAATCTCTCGTCTTTCAGGGAGGAAAAGCTGGTATTTCTTGCAGACTGCAGACAGCGTTTTAAAGATCTGCTACTTTACACAGCCCTTCTGTTTCCGTGCTCCACCAAGGCATATGT